TGATCAACAACGATACTCAGCCATCGGTCGACGAAATGAGAAAAGCTGCCGCCAACAGAGAGAATTGGTCTAAGATTATTGTCGCCTGCAAACCCAGACTGTTCGCAGCCGAATGATGATGATGATGATGATGCGCTTTTGAAATAAGAACTGGCTGAATGTTTTATGTTAAAGGATGTAAAATGTCAAATAATGTTTCATTTTTAATCAGAAATGTTTGCTCGTTGATAAAGAAAGTTTCAGTCTCGTTTGTAAAAAGAGCAAACTGATTATGCTAAAAGTTTTCCAATAAATAGACTAAATTTTTCTTAAGGCTCCCTGTTCCCCAAAAAGTCAAGTTTCCAGTTAAGGTGCAGTTTTGTAATTTCCATGTGCTTAGATAGAGAAGAAAGTGCGCTACAAACAGCCATGAAGTTTCTTTCTACCTATATATTTATACCTTTCTTCAGGAAAAACATGAAGTTCTTGTGGATCATGCTAATGGGAAAATTATTGAATTACAAGAGAGAACAACAATTTCGGAAAAAATAACTAAAAATTTTTGGTTTGTTGTCAAGAGAGTTATTCAAGTACCGGCTGAGCTTCAGGTGAAAAGAACACATTTAGAATTTGATTGAAATACATCTATTTTGAATTTTAGACGAAATTAAGTGATGTCAAATCGACAACAATTGCCATTGCTTATCCATTAAATGCCATTTATGAATCACCATCATATCAAATTTTATCGACACAACCACTCTCTGCCTATTTACCACTTCGTTCATATGGTTTTCGTTTTATTCTTCAAGCTGATTTTGAAATTCCAGCTACTCGACAAGAAATTCTACGTGATAATATGTGAAATGAATGGCTCAAAACAGAAATGATTCAACTTCTTCCATTAGCCTATGAACAATTTCAACATTTACCGGAACTTCTTACTTCTTATACTCACTCGATTCTGAACAACATACTCATCCATTAACATCAATACAAACACTCAACTATTTTCTCAAATTGATTCCAGTTCGAAATGAAATCGGTTCATATTTTAATGATGCCAGTTGCCTGTTATTCGTGAAGATTAAAACGGAATCATTGAAGGGATTTCACTAACAAAATGTATTCTTGTTCGAGATCTTTTTATATGGCAAATTTTCTCTCAAGCTTTGCTTTTATCCCGTTTTAACAGTTATTATTATCAACAAATTGTCATGGAACGTAATGAGACAATTTTAATTAGATTAGGCTGTCGTCGACTCGATTTTTCTGATATTCTACGACTTATTCGAACATTGTACACACAAAATGAACAAGAACATTCGACAAAAACAACAAGTATCGAACAGAGTAAGTGTTCCTTCGTTTCATAATCATATGAATCAATTGCTTTCTTTGTTTAGTCGCTCAATGGTTCCTATGTATTGACTATAGTTTACAACGAGAATGAGAAAAACCTGGATTTAATATAGACCATGATGTTGCAACAGGAATGACATCAATGGCTGAATTGAAAAAAATGAAAATCATTCTATTACGACAACAAACACGATTGGTATCTGTCGAAGAATTTGATCAACGAGCGATTCTATTTCCATTCGACAAAACAATTCGATATGAAAAACATCTTAAAATTGTTCTCGAAGCTTTACCAACAATCGACGAACGATTATTCGAATTTATTAAGAACAGATATCCACGACGGCTCGATTCGATCAAACGATTATTGAAAGATTTAGGTAGATTAAAAAGAAATGTGTAGAATCCCCAAGGGGGAAAAAGCATACTTCTGTACTTCTGAAGTACGGAAGTACGGAGAAGTATCACGAAGTACCGAGAAGTACCATGAAGTACCGAGATATACTGTTATGTCATAGTAGTTAGACCAGGTGCTAGTCCATAAGTAGTTTTATATATATGATGTAACATGATGTTTTCTCTC